CGTATGCGTATGCGTATGCGTATGCGTATGCGTATGCGTATGCGTATGCGTATGCGTATATGTATATGTATATGTAGGTATATGTATATATATATATATTTGTTTTTTTTGATCGAGTATTATTAAGATTATATTCCTTTAAATGGTCCCAGAGTCTATACTGGCAAACATATACAGGCGACCATAAACATTCGCGCGCAGGCATGCACATTATTTATTTAAGCGCAATATACTGTTGCAGGCTAAGTGAGGAGGTCTGGAGAATTTTATTTCACTTTTACGATAGTGTTTACAGCAATCGCGGTCAAGGCCTCACCTCTTCATCAGCGTGCGAGTTCTCTCTTACATTACGTTGCATTTGACGGGAAAAAAGATGATTAGCTACTAAAGGATGGTTAGTCGTCAGTCTAGACTGTTAGATCAGTCAATAACTGATCGGGAAATCTTGTCAGCCAGCCTTCGAGGGAGACTGTCATAAAAAGGATGCTGAGGCAGGATGGTGCGTGGAAGATACATAAGTCAATAGAACAATGCGGTAATGCGTGGGTGCTTACGTCCTTTGGTGCAGGGGAGGGCAGGGGTGCCGTAAACGCAAAAACAAATTCGGCAGAACGAGATTTATTAAGGGGTCTAGTTTGAAATATTAAGAAGGAGGGGAGTACTTGTACATGCTCCTAGTGCAGTTCAGCCTATAAAGCAACAGGCTACTTGGTTCAGGGATGACTCGATCGTTGAAAGATGACGACCCGTCGCACTTCCTCTGTACCATACCGAGCGACGCTGTCCATCCCCTATAGCCCGACCGGTGCACGTGCCTGCTCCCAGTGATTTGTGCTGAGAAATTGCACCAAGCCACAGCTGCACTTCCAACCCAATCACAGTGTCGCCAATTGGTTCATTAATGGCTGAGTTGGTTGTGGACATGCTACGGCCTGGCGTTGATAGCCCGAGGTTAGGTTCGCGCAACCTGCCGTAATTGTTGATACGAAACACGCACTTTATCAACTCCTTCAGTTTCTGGCGTATTACAGCTAAATTTATCGAAATTGTAGTGTGTAGACAGATCATTAGACAGATGTAGGCAAAGATTAATTGAAAATGAGAGATGGGAAGCAGAGTGTTTAGATGTGTACAAATAGGGGGTGGATGGGGAGAAAGTGTGGAGGTGGTGAGGGGAAGTGCATTATGGGACAAAAACTAAATAACGCATTGTGTAATAATAATTTCATTGGTTAATTCGTTGGTTAATTTATTACCATAGAAAACTGTAATTACATTATTTTGTGTGTATATACAAATGCACATTGGAACCATAGATGCATTTGATTGCAATGCACAAACACGCGCCGCTCGCGCACACACACCCGCACACACATCCGCACACATACCCGCACACACACATACACACACACACACCCGCACGCACGCACCTACGCGCGCGCACACACACACACGCGCGCGCGCACGCACATACACACCCCCACACGCACACACGCACCTACGCGCACACACATTGGCGCCACATACATAATTATTAAACATGTTATATTATCTCATAAACATGTAATATATTTATATCTATATACTATCTATACATGAGATCAGACATAGATGGTAAATCGCATGCATTTTACTGCCCACATATATTGTCATTTACCAAATATTATAAACTAATATTCTTTTCAGCATTGAATACCATAAAACCGCTGTATGTCCGGATTATATAATTTTCAATATCCGAACCTAATCTTATGCCATAAATGAATTTAGCGACACACTCTAAAATCGTCGGTAAACCATAGTTCCCGTTTAATTTCTAGAGCGCAGACTGTCACATCGTTTATGGAAGGTACGACGACCAAGTTTCTTCAGTAACCACTTAACTGTAATTTAGTTTATGTTATCACAAACCGAGTAGGCCCATCAGTAAAACGCAGCAGTGTTAGAATATTCCGAACTGATGTTAGTTAGATATAGCGCATAAAATTACAGAATCAGTTCAGACTATAATACATCAGCTAATAGGGAAGATACAGGGATCGCGATAACCCCATATAGATATATATATATATATATATATATATATATATATATCTATATATATATCTGATGCGTCGTCATTTATAGCGGAAACTTTCTTCAAGGTGACGCCTTTGTGCCCGCCGACACTGACCTGTGCAAAAGCTCATTGACATTTTACAAAAAAACGAGGAAATTATCTGCCTTTATCAGCAACGATGTGCGATCTAGAAGCTTCATACAAAAATCACAGGATAGTCACAAAATAGATAAATCACAAAATCGTATGCCGTTGCACCCAAGCACCCCTATATCACAACCTATAGTGCTCCGAAAGCAAATATTATATATTTCTATAATAATTTTATATAACACGCAAAAGCTTGTCACAGAATGTCGATACCCTATCCTTCTCAAGAAGCCAAAGGGCACACATGATTATCACAAACGTTGTCGCACAATTCGTGTTCGACACGTGCCCACACGCCGTACGATTGAAATGTGCTAAATGAAATAAGAACGAATGCAGCTCTCTTTAGCCGAGTGTGAATCTAAGCCGGGCGCACACGTGGCGATTTTTATCGACAGTACTGGCGATTTCTATCGACAGTAATATCGATAAAAATCGCCACGTGTGCGGCACCCGGCGGCGAGTTTTTAAATCGTAGGATGGCGACTGAAGATTGATAAGTTATTCGTGCTTTAATACCCTGCTCCTAACCCTAATCCTAACCCTAACCCTAATCCTAATCCTAACCCTATCAGTCGCCATCCTACGTCACCATCAGTTACCGTCCTATCCTTCAGTCGCCATCCTACGATTTAAAAACTCGCCACCCGGCGACAATGCAACCATCTGTCAGCAACATACCACTGTATGAACTGTACGTGACCTGTTCAAACCACACCACGGGCGCTGCCATATTTGATCACTTGCTTTAAATCATGCATTTGATTGGTTAATCCAAAAACTGTTGCCTGAATCTGTCGCCTGGTCAGCGCACACGTAGCGATTGTTCAGCGACTTGGCAACAAATATCAAACGTGTTGATATTCCAGCGGAAATATTTTCTGGCGTCAAAATCGCCGACGCCGTGCAGCGCACACGTGGCGATTTCTCGGCGATTTTGTTGCTGGCAACAAAATCGCCAGTACTGTCGATAAAAATCGCCACGTGTGCGCCAGGCTTAATGTCGATAAAAATCGCCACGTGTGCGCCAGGCTTAATGTCGATAAAAATCGCCACGTGTGCGCCAGGCTTAATGTCGATAAAAAACGCCACGTGTGCGCCGGGCTTAAGTCTGTGACCATAATTATGTCGTCGCTGTTACAGTAATGCACGAATGTGACCCAATTCTGTAAAAAAAATACTTCGCAGATGCACGCACGCGTGCTCACGCTTAGTGGAGCAGGTACTTATTAAGAGAAGTCCGGGTATTGGTAACGCGGCTTTTGCTTGTACGACGAGGTCCCATATGAGGTGCAGGAGAAGCGAGGATCAGCGACGTTGTATACTGCCGGGTACATATTAATCAATCCCAACTTCAGGTACTTCCACGTCGTCTTGCAAAAACGCCATGCGTTCTTCTTTATCTGTGAAAAGTATATGCGGTGTTGATGCGATCGTGAGTCACGGGGGGGGGGAGGTGATGCTTGTGTTATATGTACCTCACACAAATGTACTCATATCTAAACGTACTCAAGGAAACTACATGGAAAAGGTCACGTTCGTTCAGTTTCAGTAATACCACTCATAGCACAGACGCACGCACGCACACACATACACACGCACATGCACGCACGCACGCACACACGCACGCACACACACACATAACCAGCAGCGCCGTGCCGCACAGTCCCAACCTCACACACACACACACACCACATGCAAGCACACACCACACCACACAGCACACACACACACACACACAACAACACACACGGCTGCGCGGACCACCACCACAACAACCTCACGTGGGCGGCACACGGCAGCGGCCACGACATAACCAAACAAACAAAGCCTACGACACACAGCACGACACACACTCCACACACACCGACACACACAACACACACACACACACACCAGCTACAGCACAAACACACACACAGGCGCCGCCGAGCATCCGGCGCCCACATGCACCACACACGCAACACACAACACACACAACGACACACGACACACAAGGCACAAACACACACCACCCACCACACGCACACACACGACACATCACACACACACACACACACCACACAAACAAGACCCAACACACACGACGATACAAAACAGACGGCCCAACAGCACACACCAAGCAGACCGCCAACACACCATCCACATAACCAACAGACAGACACACACACCACCTTATATCGGCCATATCGGCCACAGGCACTTAGAGCGTTTCAATAAAATATAATGCTAAATAAATACGAAATTTATTTACTACCAAAGTCTTAATGTTTCTATACTCTCTTTCACCTATTATTGCCGACAATTTCCTGCAAATGCCGTCCAAATGCTCATCTGTAACAAACGCTGGCTGCCGCCATGGCTGCCGCTGCACACTGACACATAACTATATATGCTCATGTGCAGCAATTAGAACAAACGCTGGCTGCCGCCATGGCTGCCGCTGCACACTGACACATAACTATAATATATTTACATGGCAATTAACATGGCAAGCGCATCGCTCTTAGCGGAACGAACGCCGACTGACCTTTTTCTTCGTAGTTGCGGATTTCTTTGGCGTGGTGCAACCCGTCTTCTGGTTTATCGAATTCTCGATGCTGACTATGCAATCAGCTGATTCGTACAACACACAGTTCTTCTCCGCAGGAATGGTAATGAACGTCGCTGGTATCTTTGGTCTGTCGCTCGCTGCGCCGTCGCCATCGTCGTCGTCGCTATCGTCATCGCTATCACCGCCAGCATGTATTACGGCACTCGCACGGACCGCGGTTTCGTTGTGTGTGTTTTGCACCATCTCGGTATTGATAGCGCAGTAGTCATCGCCATCGTCGTCGTCATTTTCACTTTGTTCTTCGACGATGTCGGAAAGGTTGCCGTCGAAGCGATCGTTCTCAAACTTGCCGTACCGCGTCGCTCGCTTCCAGAACTTCAGCTTCTTTCGCCTCCACTTCTTAAACTGCATCGTGTATCGCCGATCCGCGAGAGCAAACGCGCCCAAGATGTCAGCCGCCCTCAGGTGATGCGCGTTTGTATGTGCTCCCGGCAGCGATCATAACACCAACAGCGATATGCGAACGTTGGACCTGCCCCGATGATGGGATAGTTATAACAACACACTACAACAAGATAGCAAGCGATCGTGCGCCCTCTAGTCGAATCGCGACGCGGCCTAAAACAGCGACGCGTGCCTACAGTGGTGATCCACCAAGTATCAGTTGCCCAGCAGGTTTATGTACACATATTGTTATGCTTTGCGTTCTTTCTTTTCGCGCAAAAGAGCTCGATCTCCACGATTGTTTATCTTAGTACAGGTATGCAACAATATGTACTAAGACGCAACTTACCAATTAACACGTACACGCGTCGCATCGCTGCTGTCAAAAACACATTGCTCTCCTTGCGAGCCCAGACTGGCCGCGGGCCAGTGCAAAACACGGCGAAGAGTCGCAAATTCGTCTGCGATCACAACGCATAGTGGAATTCGTCACTCATTTGCGCGTATATCGTCCATGGTTAGGTTCAGCTGATCAGTGCAGCACGGCTTACTACGTGTTTTCGAGGGCACGAGGACACGCATGTATAGCAGGCTAGCAGCTAGACAATAATATAAGTCCACCAGTGTTCTCGACTGGCTGCGAGCCAGAACAAACCAAAAAAAGTTTCTTCGCTGCATGGTGCCCTTACGCTCATAGGGTCTATGTCCCCCAGGGTACTGCCGGAACGTACCCTGGTAACTATCTAGCTGATATGGTTAGGGTTTGGGTTAGGGTTGGGATTAGGGTTGGTTGGGATTAGGATTAGGGTTAGGGTTAGAGTTAGGGAGTAGGCGTAGGCGACTCCCTAGACTCGTTAGTGGAGTAGGCGAGGCACGGTCCGGCATATTAGATAGTAGTATTTAGTACCAGGGTACGTTCCGGTATACCTGACCGTACCCAGGGTACGTTCCGGCAGTACCCTGGGGGACATAGACCCTATCAGCTGTACTTACATGCGTTGGCATGCAGCCCAGGTGGCAGGCGGTGATCCGGTTTGAACAGCGACATTATCCCTGTTGAAAAGGGAAGGGTCTGGGAGAGCGCTGGGTTCTGGTAAACAAATAGCCGTTGTATGTTTAGGAGCACACATCTCGCTGATATTTAGAGCGTGAACCCGAAACGAAGAGCCCTCGTTCGCATGATATACGTACATAGGCTGCATGGCGCTGAGTTTAGCGATCAACGCGTTTTAGTTTACTGTTACCGATGGCGATCAGGCGATTGCACACATACATGCAGCGATGCACGTTCCGTAAAAAGCTGTCACGCTGCCTTACGATAAACATCGCATAAGTTGACAGATCGTGAAGATGATGCCTTCTCATTTCTAGACGCGCGTCGTACGGCGATATGCGGTCGAGAGCCATTCGGTGTAAAATCTCGATCCACGAGTGATTCTCTTTGTTCGACGTTTCATTCCGGCTGTCGCCTCTTGCAGTTTTATTTCAGCTCATGCAGTCGGTAAACAATTTTACGCGGGCTGACGCTACATGCAGCTAGTTCACCTGCACTCGCGCTGTACGTTTAAGGCCATGCTGCGGTTCTTAACCTTTTTGGAGACCGCAGTTCTAAGCAAATTAAAACTAAGAATATGTTTCACGTACACCCTTTGTCTAGAAACGCAAGAGGAATATAGGACTTATAAGTAAAGATTTATAATACCACAATTACATCAACGAGACCAGGGTTTATGTGTTCTTCATTATATTATATTATGTTAGATTCTAGGATTTTACTGCATACAACTGTACTTACTGTATAACAAATCGTCTATACCCACACGTATTTGTTACCAGATACCTAATTTAATTGTTATAATTAACAGTAGTTATATCGCACCGCGGCGCATTCTTCTGGTTCACCACACATAAAACATACCATTAACCCATCAAAAACACAAACTTAGAGTGTACCCTCTTTTGGGTTCACACCACTAAGACCAACAGCGCCACCCCCGCTCTCCAGGTGATAATGCCTCTATTTGGTTCAAGGATTTAGCCTCCATGACGATCAGCACTCGATGTGGCCAATTCACCCGGGTCACACCGTGCAGCACATAGGCCCCTCACCTTGGTGTGTCCTACGCGCAATATTATTCACTCAATTATTAGTACTTACGTATTCCACTAGTGGATTAGTATTGTATTAGTAAATGTAGGTTCAGGGGTTAGGGTTAAAGGATTAAGGATTACGGTGGCGGTACCGGAGATCTAGGTGCGATTGGGTTAGAGTCCTTGATGGCTCTGGACCTTCATGGATATCTGTCCCACAATCATAGTTATTAATTTTCCTGTGGACTCAACCACACCTATATTAGAAGCCCGCTATCCAATATATAGTAGTCAGGGAAATATTATCCAGATACATCTGGCCAAATCTGGGAATAAATTCCTTACCAAGAACATTTCTTCACCAATGTGCTTTGTAAAGGTGTGCTACTAACAAGTATTTCAAAGAACATATTCAATTTACTGCGTAATATTTTCAACTTCTCATAGGATACCCGGTAAACAGCTGTCTGAAAGTTGGGGTACCCGGAAAGGTTATCCGGGAAAAAATGAATTCTTTTTATTATTGATTCATGCCTTAACGGTCCAGCCTTGGCCTGAGGATGCTAGAACTAAGGGGGTTTTTCAATAAATTCTGAAGTTGAGTAAGGCGCCAAAAGCAATTGATTTTGTTTTGCCAAAACACAGAACCCCAAAAACCACTATCCTTGTCAGAAAAAACGGAAACATCCCCTTTTTTCGCACTCGTCGCAAAACCCCTTTCTGTTTATTGTGTCTCTCTCTAGTTACCTGGAAATGTATCTGGAAGTATGTTACTATGTCATGGGAAGTGGTCGAACTACTGGAATAAAAATATTCAAGCAACCCTATAATTCCGTATTTCACGTTGCTCTACGGGTAGGTTGTCTCATCGATCCTAGCACCTCAATGGGGCTTGCCCTGTTCCCAATTCGGCTTACACTCACTTAGACTTTCGGGTCAAATAGTGGAGACTTCCTCAACACCTAGGTGGTCCTCCACACCTCATTTTTCCGTATGGGCTTAACCCACCAAGAGTACTTGTTTCCTCACCAGAGCACACACGATTTATCAGCCTCTCCTGTTAATACTAACCCTGCTTTCTCCATTATCCATCGTAGTAGTTGGAAAACCACTTAGGAAGCGCACTCTAATGTGTTCATTATATTCCCACACCCCTTCCTGGTCCGGTCCTCCTCCTTGTACCACCTCTTAGCTTCTGGCGCTCATTTCTTCGAATTTACATACCATAACCTTCCATTGAATCTCAAATTTGAATAAACCAAAGATCAGATGATGAGTAGAAAGCTCTCTAATCGGTCGAACTTGATGATCTGTGATCTCCCAGTTTCTGCTATTTGATCCACCACCAGGTGAAAGTGAACCCTTCCCGAGCTGAGCTCGGATCCTCCAGGTGTTCTTCATGGAGGTTCGGAATACAGCTCAATCTGTGCAGTCACTCGTCTAGGGGGGTCTTATGTCTTTAGGCCAGACAATATAGATTTGAAACATTCGTTCCTCTTATTTCTTTAGGGATTGCATTTCTCCCCTTTCATTGCAGGGAATGGCCGGTTTGATTAAAGTCACCACCCATCAGCACCACACTTTCGGCAAAATAATCAGAACAGCTAGGCTTGTCAGTCCGGGTGAAGTTGAAGGCACTCGCACAAGCTAAAAGTCCTGAAGGGCAGCATGAAGTGAAGGCTTCTTCCGATTCACAAAAGGAAACAGACAGGGATAAACACTCATCACGTTCTCTCGGACACTATTATTCCTTTGCACTCGAGCCTCCCTCAAAGACACAAAGGACCACGCACTCCTCTCTCGGGTGTCCTCCCGGGAATCTGTTCCATTCCTTTAACCTTACTTGATCCCACTCATAACCATCTTAACCCTCCCTTGTGGTCCCTCGCCTGGTCCCACTCCATACACTAACTCCTGGTGTCCCACCCACCTTATCTAACCCTCAACCGGTGTCGCCCTCCTCCACCTACCCTCGACATGATCCCCTCCTGGTCCATCCTAACCACTTCTCATGTGGTACACCCATACCACACTACCGGAACTACCATTGGTGTCACCCAGGATGCACTAGTACCAACCCTATCTACTATGTTCTCTGGGCGCAACCATAGTGCACACGCTCTTGCGCAGCAGGGTAGTGATCAAAAAGCCCAAATCCACGAAGTTCCAGCACTCCCAACTTCGAGACATTGCTGGATGAAGAGGATTCGATTCCGCTTAATCGATGAACCAAGCAAGAGGACGCAAGGTCGACTTCCTCGCCGGTCTCATTGACTTAGGTGGTGACCCCCCTTACTGGTCCACCCTAACCTAAATGACCCCAAAGACCATCTTCACCACTCTCGAAAAACCTTTCTCTGGTGGCCAACAACAACGAGTGAGCACATTTGCAGCTATACGAGGACATAAGTCGACCCACGCCTACCCTCCCTGGTGTCCGCGCTAACCAGGTGTCCTACTTCTTCGACTTAGTACACCTTCGATCCTCCCCCATCCTAGCTCCAAAGGCTGTGTAATATTATAAAGGCAGGCGAATTCTACCGAATCATTCGCAAGGTGAGGGCACCTCGTTGCTGTGTTGGGGCCGTTGTGTTCTAGGATCTGGTTTTCTATATGGTATTTAATTCAGTTTCTGAGTTCGCTCAAACTAACTCCTGTTTTTGGTCTTAAAACTATTTTGGTATAACAGTCACCTTTTGGTGTCACAAACATGTATGTTAGGCTACACCAGCCCGACTCCTGTGCGCGTTAGTCGCCACAAACATTGGCCTTAACCACTTGGCTCTTGGTGTTCCAACCCACCTTGCCACTTCCTGGTCTTTCCTATATTCCTCTCCCGCGGCGCGGCGCAACGCTGCGGTTTCAAACTTGGGCTTTTCATGAATCCTTTGCCGTTAACCCTTGACAGTCTAACAGCATTCCTCACATGTAACTGCTCGAAGTGCTGCCCGCCCTCGTCTAAGGCTCAATCCTCATCTAACTTGCCATCCCTCCCTCCCTTTCACTCTCTCCTCTCTCTCTTCCTCCTTCTTCCTCTCTCTTTCTCTCGTTTTTATCCTCACTCTCTCGGTCTCTTTCTCTCTCTCTCTCCTTCTCTCTCACATTAGCATCAGCCTAGTCGTGCAAACACTCCTCCCGGTCTCAAATCAATTCCTCTCTCTCTCGCGCGTCATGCACTGAGAAGCGAAGTGAAACTCCTCATCTGTCTAAATCACTTATCCTCTCTTCATCCTTCAAGTCCTTC